ACGATCCAGCTAGCCGTCTCCGTCTTCTCAAGAGCGGGTCTCTGGGCTTCTGCAGGCGCTCGGGTTGACTGACAGCATGAGCTCCTGCATGGAGACCACCGTGTACCCTATATTCTTCACCTCGTTCAATAATGGCTCGGTGCCGTCCCCCATGACGTGGCGTTGACAGTGGCGAAGGTGATCTGCTTCCCTTCGGTATACAAAGTCGACTTCGGACACCCGATCTGTCCGGTGCATGTCGTCGCTGTGCAGGCCTTCTTCAAGTTTTGCTCCTCCTCCTTGCTAGACCAGCGCCCGCATGACAGGGTGCACGCCCTGGAGCACGGCTGCCAACGGCCGCTTGGCCGCGGCCTCTGCAGCAGCTTGGCAGTATTGTTGTCGTGTACGTCTGGCGTCTCCTCGGCAGCGGTGCCGCAGCCCTCGCCGTCGCCATCAGGCAGGGAGGGGGGTGCGACTCTGGCCAGAGCCGCGCCCAAGAGGTCGCCCAGCTGCTTGGGCTTCGGGTCCTCCGACGACACCGTCGTGATGTGCGCCTTCTGCTTCGCAGGGCCGAGGCCGACGGCAGGGTGCTACCTGCCCTGCTGGCCGGCTCGCAGGAGCGGCCGTCGCCATCGCCTGCCGCAGCTCCGCTTCCAACTCCGCGATCCCTTTGTGTTGGTGCTTTCGATATCCTTCTCGTGGGCGTCGAGGTCGGCCCAAGCCTACGCGAGCGCAGCCTGGGCCTCGAGGGCCACTTCTCCTTGCTTGCAGTGGCCAGCACAAGCGTCTTCTTTTTCGACTGCGTGAGGCCCAGAAGACCCGGGAGCGAGCCAAGCTGAGCCAGCGGCGCCTTTGCTTCCAAGCGTGCCGCTCATAGCGACGCTAGCTGCGCCTCCGTGACCTTGGCGAGCTCACCTTGAGAGCTGATTGGGCTTCGCAGTCTAGCTCTCGAGCTCCTCTGTCTGGGCCAGCCTCTCGCCGTCCTCATCGCGCAGCTCGTTGGGCACAACCTGCAGCGCCGGCTCACGCTTGCTGGATCCCTTGCCTAGCCTGTTCTTGACCGCCGCGAGCTCCTTCCTGAGGCTCTCGGGCATGCTGGCCAACTGCGCACTGTCGGCACACGTCCCGTTCGCCCCCCTCTCTGCCTCGCAGCCTTGCCGTGGGCCTCCTTCGCGCGGCGAGCGACGTCAGGAGGTGCCCGTGGCCCGCATGCGCAGGCTATACGGCTGGCCCAGTTGGCCCTGCGGTCGCACTGCGGTCAAGGCCACGGCGGGCGCGGGGAGGTGCAGGTGGCACGGCTGCTGCCCGAGCTGCAGGCGGCGACACGGCGAAGAGGGGGCGGCTCTCCACGCTGGTGTGTCCGTGCCTGGGGCAGGCCAGAAGAAGCAGCGCAAACGGGCTTCGGATCAGAGGTATCCATCGGCCCCGCTCTGGAGCAGCGCATATTCGGCCGACGTGGTTCAGGAGCGGTGCCGATGATGATGATGATGTTGATGCTGGTGCGGATGCCGACGATGATGATGATGATGATGATGATGATGATGATGATGATGATGATGATGATGATGATGACGATGATGGTGCCGATGATGATGACGATGATGATGATGCTGCTGATGATGATGGTGTTGCTGATGCTGATGATGATGACGATGATGATGATGATGCTGCTGATGATGATGATGATGATGATGGTGTTGCTGATGCTGATGATGATGCTGATGATGATGCTGATGATGGTGATGATGCTGATGCTGATGCTGATATTGCTGATGATGATGATGATGATGATGAGGATGCTAATGCTGACGCTGATGCTGATGATAATGACGTTGGTGATGATGATGCTGATGCGGATGCTGATGCTGATGCTGATGATGATGATGATGCTGATGATGCTGCTGCTGATGGTAGTGATGATGACGATGACCATGACCATGACGATGTCGATGATGGTGACGATGGTGAGGATGACGATGCTGCTGCTGATGATGATGATGATGCTGATGCTGATGCTGATGGTTAGGATGCTTGTTATAGTTGGTTTTGCTACTATTAGCATTGTTATGTGTTGCTATATGTTATTCTGACGGTGATGATGATGACTCTGATGATGATGATGATGATGATGATGATGATGATGATGATGATGATGATGATGATGATGATGATGATTAGGAGGAGGAGGAGGAGGAGGAGGAGGAGGAGAATGATACGGATGATGATGGTGGTTATGCTGGTAGTGACACTGATGATGTCGTTGTCGTTGTCGTCGTCTTTGTTGTTGCTGCTGCTGGTGTTGTTGTTGATGGTGATGGTGATGGCGATGGTGATGGTGGTGGTGATGAGGATGAGGAGGAGGAGGAGGAGAAATAGGAAGAGGAGACTGGGGAGGAGGATTTGCAGGAGGACTTGAAGGAGGAGGATGGGGAGGAGGATGGGGAGGAGGCTTTGGCGGGCACAGGGCGAGGGGGGAGGACCACCCCGAGACCTACCCGTGGGAGGGGGCGAGCTTCGACGACTCCGACGAGGATAGCGACGAGGGCTGCGGCCGCGGCCCGCCGATGACGCACAGGCGTACAGGGGGGCCCGCCTCCCTCCTACTCCTCCCCCCTCCTCCCCTGCCCCTCCTCCCTCCCTCCTTCCTTGCCCCTCCCTTGCCTCCCTCCCTCCCTCCCTCCCTCCCTCCCTTGCCTCCCTCCCTTCCTCCCTCCCTGCCTCCTTGCCCCTCCCCCCTCCTCCCTCCCGCCCTTGCCTCTCCTCCTCCCTCCCTCCTCCCTTGCCCCTCCTCCCTTGCCCCTCCCCTCCCTCCATCCCTCCCTCCTCCATCCATCTCTCTTATGCATACGCTGGGTGTTTTAACAAGCGTGGGAGGGTACCCCCCCCGACGGGGGTCAACCTCGCCGCGTCGTCGCGCCGCGACGGGGGTCGGAGCGCTGTCGGCGCGCGGTGGCTGCCCGCGACGGGGTTCGATGTGGGGCCGTCGGCGGGGGTGACGTCCCCCCCCCGACGCTTATTACGAAATTCGGAGTAGCTCTTCCGTGTCGTGCCCCAAGGCGTGTCAGCAGGGCGGGCTGGGCATTCCGTATGGGACTTCCTCACGTTTTACGAGCTTGAAGCTTCAATTTTGCAGCAGTTTCACGGACGGCGGGCGGGCTGTGTTCAAACGGTGGCTCTCGCGCTAGCACAGCGCACTTCGTCTGAACAGTTTGCAGGAGTTTCACCGATGGGAGACGGTTGGTTTCCAACAGTGTCTCTCGCTTCTGCGCCGCGTACATTCGTTGGCGAAGTTTGCAAGATCTTCGCGGATGGAGGGCTGGTTGCTTTCAAACTGTGTCTCTCGCGATAGCGCCGTGCGCATTCTAGCAGTAGTTTTACGGGTGGACGGCGCGTCGTTGTTTAAATGTGGCTCTCGCCTCAGCGCCGCGCACATTCCTTTTTTTTTCACCTCCAAAGTTAGCAGAATAATATTCAAGGATGGAGATCCGATTCTTTTCTACATGTGGCTCGCGCTGGAGCGCCGCGTACACTCTTAGAAAAACCTTGCAATCATTTCACGGACGGCGGGCTGTTTTTTTCAAATGTGGCTCCTCCCCCAGCGCCTGCCGAACTCGTTGTGAACATTTGCAAGCGTTTCAAGGGTGGGGGCGGCTCTCTTTCAATCTGTGGCTCTCTCTTTTGCGTTCGGCATACGCGTCCTTCAACTCCAGCAGGATTTTCACGGATGGGGGGCTGTTTTGTTTCCAAGTGTGATTCTCGCTTTAGTGCCTCGCGCAGTCGTTTTAACATATTGCAGCACTTTCGAGGATGGGGAGCGGTCCTTTTTCCAAAACGTGGTTCTCGCGCTCGCGCCGCGCACACTCGTTTTAGGCGTCAGCAGAAGTATCACGGATGGATGGTGGTTCTTATTTCCAAATGTGGCTCTCGCTTCAGCGTCGCGCGCATTCGCCTTATACGTCTGCAGCAGTTTCGCGGGTGGTGCCGGGCCGTTTGCAAAATGTGGTTCTCGTGGTAGCGCCGCGCACATCCGTGCGACCAAACTGCATGCGCTTCACGGGTGGAGGGCGTTATTTGTTGTATCAAACGCCCAAGCGTTGTTCTCGTTAGCGCCGCGCGCATTCGTCTTGAACATTTGCAAGCGATTCACGGTTGGCGGGCGGGTCTTTTTTTTCAAAATGTGGCTATCGCTTCAGCGCCCCGCACACGCGCTTATCAACGCCGGCATGAATTTCACGGATGGGGGGCTGGTCTTTTTCCAAATATGCCTCTCGGCTAAGCGCCGTGCGCATTCGTTCAAACAGTTCGCAAGACTTACGAGTTTCAGGGATGGCGGGCGTTTTTTGTTTGTTTGTTGTTTTTCTGTTTTTGTTTTGTCTGTTTTCAAAGTGGCTCTCTCCCCAGCGCCGCGCACGTTCGTTTCTGAAGGTTAGCAGCAGCTTCTTGTCCAAATGTGGCTCGCGCTTCAGCGTCGCGCGTATTCGTTCAACAAGCTGAGCGAAATCCACGGATGGCAGGTGGTTTCTTCACCTGTGGCTCTCGCTCCAGCGCCGCGCACATTTTCTCTCGAACAACGCTTCACGGATGGAGGGTTGCGCGGTTTCCAAACGTGGCTTTTGCTTGAGTGAGCGCCGCGCACATTCGTCGCAAAGTTAGCCGGGGCTTCGTGGGTGGGAGGCGGTTTGTTTTTAAATTGTGGTTTTCGCGTTAGCGCCGCGTTCTTTCGTTTTGACAAGTTGCAAGAGCTTCAGGGATGGAGGACTGCTCTTTTTCAGCGGGTGGCTCCCGCCTTTGTATCGCGTGCGTTTGTCTGAAAAGTTTTGCAACCGTTGAGCGGGCATTTGCAGTTGACAGTTGAGCCTTTTTGGCTTGAGAAGGGGGCCCACAAGGGGCGCAGGGGGGGCGCCATTTTTTGGCACCCCCCCTCTACATCCGAGTGCCACATTCACAAATCACGCCTACATCCCAGAGAGCAGTAGTCCGCAGGAGCAGTGCTCCGCGGTTCCTGCGGTGCCGTTGGCAAGGGGAACGCGTTCCCAGGCGGGCCCATGAGGCGGCCCTTGGGCGGCGAGGGTGATTTCTTTAAGCGCATCGAGCAGATGTGCGAGGATGGCAACAAGAAGCTGGCGGACAGGATTGAGGGGCGCATCGGCCGAGTCGAGGAGCGCCTCGGGGGCGTCGACATGAAACTCGGAGGCTTGGAGGCCAAGGGGAATGTTATGGAGGCCAGGCTCGCGAAACTCGAGCTCGGCCAGAAGGCGACCCGGGAGTGGCAGCCCAGTTGCATCGCGATCGCGTTTTTTCTTGCGAGTGGAAGGGCAGGGGCAACATGGGTTGCGACGGGCCTCTCGGAGAGCGGGCCCGCGAAGAAATCGTCCAGAATTTGCCAGAACAACTTAGGGCGACGGTCGGCGACCTCAAGAAGAACCATGCAGATCCGCGTCGCTTCCAGCCACGTCGGTGAGATCATGGGGCGCTGGAGCGAGTTCATGTCCAGGCCAGTCAACCATCGCAACGGCCGGGCGCCCCGAGCCCGCGAAGAGCGCCATCCTGCTTTGCAGGCGCGCTTCAACAAGTGCGGCGAAGTCTGCGACTTCGCGCAGTCCATGGGGTTTGGCACCGTCACCGTTGAGTGGGCGCCCGTGTTCCAGGTCCGCGTCGACTTCGAGGTGGCGGTGTCGATTGCGGAGAAAGGGGCTCTCGCGTGGGATCAGGGTGCGGCCACCAGTCTCGGGGAGGTTTTCAATGCGGAGCTCAACCAGGTGTTGCTGGCGTTTCGACGCCTGTAGGGGTGCCCACTGCTGCTCGGCGGTCTTGAATTGGAATGCTTGCCGGAAGTCGTTAGCGAAGGTATATCGGCTCGCGCGATGCGTGTAGCGCGAATTGGGTAGCGACGCGGTGGCATGTTTCCAACGGGGCGCGAGTTGGAATGAGTCGGTTGATTTCATATGCTGTGGCTACACCCTGTTGGCAAGCGAAGTGGGCGAGTGCAGTATCATGTTGCCTTGACCGCGTGCGTCCCCTGTTCGAGATTTTCGTTTCGGGCCGAACTGGCGTGGTACTCCCATTGATGGCGCGGTCTTCATTTCAAGTCGTGTGCTTGATCAGATTTCAGGGCGTCTGTTGCGACGCGGAAGGCCGTGCTTTTCGCGCGTGCCACTTCTGGCAAGTTCTCTGGAGTCTGCCCGCGCGTGGTCGTGGTCGCGGGCGCCGGCGTGGCCGTGGGCGCTGGCGCGGAGGGCTGCGCAGGTCAGCTCGCATTGCCGCCATGCGCGGCATGGCTCGCAGGTGGCTCAAGTCATTGGGGGCGGGGGCCCTCGGCGCTCGCGTGCTCGACGTGCTCGGCCGGGGCCCGGCTGATGCGGATGCGCTCCGACAGATGTCGTGGTTGTGCGGGCGGAAGAGGCGCCTCCGCCGACGCGCTCAAATCGACTGCGTGTGCGTGTTTGATGATATTGAGGGAGCTGTCCGCCGAGGATATGGGGGGTCGCCTTGCTTCCGCAAGTCTGATCATCGACCGGTGTTCTCCACGTGCAGTCCATTGTTTGCTGCCTCGCCCGCCAGGCTTGGCGCGAAGTCTTCCATTGGTTGGGCTTCGCCTTGTGTGGACAGTTTGGCGCGTCTTCGGGTTGAGTGCGTGTCGAGCTCGGTTGGTGATGCGCTGATGGATCTAGATTTTTTCGATGCTAGCACGACATTGGCCGCGAAGTCCGCGCCTCGCGCCGCTGCGTCTGGGCGAAGGTGCGCGCGCGGTGCAGCCGTTGACGCTGCCGTCAGAAGGGCACGCCGCCAGCTTGAATCCAGGGTTCTTGTGTGACGACGGCCGCGCGGCAGTCCAGGGCCTTCGGAGGTGCGAGCGACGTCGGCGCGTGCGTCTCCATGGGCGTGATCTGGCGCAGGTGAAATCTGGTTCTCGGTCATATCTGAAACGCATGCCCGTCGCCGCGCGCATCCAGGGCGTGGGCCCCCCAGATCGCGCGCGGTGGTTTGGGGGGGGGCCATCGCTTAGGTGTTGACAGGCGCGGTGGCCCCGACCATTCAGAGCCAGGTCATCGTCGGCGCCTGCTGTAGGTGTCTCGCGCGACCTGGCTGGAGGTGGAGCTTCTCGATGGGCGGCGTGGGCGGTATCTTAATTTGTTCGACGTGCTGCGCTGCTGCGGCCAGGTGCGCCAGGGCAGGGGCGCGGGCGTTGCGGGTGCCGCGGCGGAGTTCATTCACGCGCTTCGATTTGTCATTGTCGTCCTAGTGCGGAAGCTGTTCGGGTAGTGGTTTTATGGCATCTCGGCGGTCGATCCACCATCGTGGAAACGCGCGAATTCCAGCGGTATCCCAAAGGAGATCGCCATTTCCAGCTGCGACAGCATGCGATGGATCGGCCTCTTGAGCGGATTCGCCAAGTGGTACGCGATATTACTGAAGTCATTATTTCGTTTGATGTCTCCTTCAGGTGCTATGCGGTCGTGCGGTTTTCAGCCTGGCCCTGGGGCGCGCGATGTCAGTGCTCATTTTCGGGCTGTGCTTGAGCGCGCGTCCGCGTGTGGCCGCCAAGTGTGCGTTGCTAGTCAAGACATCGAGCAGTTTTTCTGACGCCATCGACCATGCGGAGCTTGCGGCTGGATAGAAGACCGATCCAGCGCATCCATGCAGTCATGCGCGAGTGGGGCAACCAGTCGGGCACCATCTCGCCGGGCGGGGCAGGTTCCGCGCTGCCTTTCGCTTTCAGCCGCGGGGTCAAACGGGGGTGCGTCGAGGGCCCAGGTCGGCTGGATTAAATTTTTGAATCCTTCTTGAAGCCTCTAGCCTCCCGGATGGAGCGGGGGGTGGGCTGCGTGGCGGGCGACGGCGACGATCCGCGCAACTTCGTCGCCCGCGATGACAACCTGGGTGATCGCATCTTGCCCCGATCACCTGGAGATCATGGCCCAGGGGCGCTGCGACGCAATCTACGGGCGCAATGCGAGGTAGGAGCCGACGTCGCTGGGAATTCTCCCCGGCGGCTCTCCTTCCGGATCGCGCCGCTTCTTGTCGATCTCGGCCGCGGGGAAGGTGGCGCCGTGCAAGTGCGTGTCGGAGCCGGAATGTCTTGGTTTGCCGCTGGACAAGATCGGGGCGCGCTCAGGGGATTTTGCAGTGTTAGATAGCCAAAGCTGAAAAGAAACGTGGGCGAGTGCTCGGCGATTCCTTGGGCCGGTTGGCGCGGGGTCGAAGATGCGCGCGCGGGCCGCGGGCCGGGGCGCCGCGCGCCGCCTGCCGCCTTCGACTTGGGGTCCTGGCTCCGCGCGGGCACCGGCCTACTTTCTCTGAAGCGTCGGGGGTTTGGCTGGCCGCGGAGAATTTGGCGACGCGGGGGCGCCAGAGGAAGACCTGCGCGCGCGACAGGCGCGCCTGCGCGCGCGTCCAGAAGTGAGCGAGCAAGCGTTCGATATCTCTCGTTCGCCATCGTGTTTTGCAGAAGCTGTTTCGGGGTGCGTGGCGGGGCCCGTGTGAGAAGGCGCCTGCTCGCGCCGCTCGCGTGGCTCGTTCGCGCTGCTGGTGGGGCAGCGGCAAGGGCCAGTCGCGCTGCGCGCGGAAGCGAGAACGCCGCGGCTGCGCACGTCCTGGCGCCGCGCACCTGTGGGATGGCCCCGTCGTCTTGGTGCGCGGCCGCGGGTGGCGGCCCATTTGGGAGAACTGCCCCGCGATGTCGACTTGGCAGCGATGGGCGCGGCGTGCCGCTCTTGGGGCTTGTCACTTCTGCGGGGGTCTCTTCGTCGCGCGAGGGGGGTCGCCCGCGATTTGATCATTCGGCGGCCTGCCAAAGTGGCCGGAGTGGATGCGGGGCCAGATGTGGAAGTCAAGCGTCCTCCAGTCCAGCGGGCGGCCGGCGCGCAGCAGTTTGTGGCCGCTGTTGATTGCCGGCCTTTTCGAGATGTTTGTCGCGGTTGCCAACGGCTGCAGACGGAGCATTCGCAATTTCTCTCTCTCTCTCTCTCTCTCTCTCTCTCTCTCTCTCTCTCTCTCTCTCTCTCTCTCTCTCTCTCTCTCTCTCTCTCTCTCTCTCTCTCTCTCTCTCTCTCTCTCTCTCTCTCTCTCTCTCTCTCTCTCTCTCTCTCTCTCTCTCTCTCTCTCTCTCTCTCTCTCTCTCTCTCTCTCTCTCTCTCTCTCTCTCTCTCTCTCTCTCTCTCTCTCTCTCTCTCTCTCTCTCTCTCGTCGCGTAGCGCGCAACGCGTTCCGAATCATGGAGGATGGTTGGAGCGCCCCTGGCAATATTTCGGACTTGGTTATTTTGTTCTCCAGGGCCGAGAACAAACTCGCCGACCGTCTGGTAAATTACGCCATGGACATCGGGTGCCGCGGGAAAAAGTACCGGCCAATTCCGGACCGAGAGGGCCATGATCTTCTGTTGCGGGCCGATGATAGTTATAGGACCAACGAGACAGCAGCTGCTGCCTCCGCGATCGTGGCGATCCAGGGCAACGCCGTGCATCTCGTTTGGCCAGATGCGTCCACCTGCCAGGTGCACGGTCGGCCTTTGCAGCTGAAGCTATCGCATGTGACGACGGTTTTGAAAACTTTGCATTATGGCGAGATCTTTGCCATATTGGTCAACATGGTGAGTTGGCGAGTAGCGTTGGCGACCCAGCATTTCGATAACATGTCCAGGACAACTCGGCTAGCGGTGCCGCGCTTTATGCCGTGCGAGAAAGAGAACGGGTTCTTACCCCCCCGTGCAAAAAGCAACCGGTGTTTTTTTTCACACCTCCCCCCCTTTTCACTGTGCAATGCGGTGCCGAGTTTTTTTGTCGAACTTCGCCGGTCGCGCGATCAACGTTGAAATGGGAGGCCGGGGGGCTCGCCAAACACCGGTTGCTTTTCGCGCGGGGTTGTAGGATTCACGTCCCAGGAGCGGTGTGCGAGCACGGTTTAGGACTAGCAGGGCGCAACAATCATCTTGACTCGCGGTGCTGAGGTCCCCAGGAGCGGCGTTTTGGTACGATTCAGGACCGTCAGGACGCAGCAGTGCATCAGGTTCCTGGCGATGACGTCCAACGAGTTGTTGTTGTTGTTGTTGCTGTTGTTGTTGAGTTCTCATTTCTGACCAATCATGATTGTTGATCCCCCCCACCGGTGCATATTGTTTTTTCTCAATCAAAGTGTGCCCCTCGACGCTCGCACCCTGTTTTTTTGACAGGGAAAGTCTTCCTGCTCAAACTGCCCCCGTGGCCCCCGGGTTCAACAACAACGGCTCCCGCTTGAGACTTCCTTACAATTTAGCCAGGACCCCAGCTCCCGCCCGAGATTTCCTTGCATTTTATTCAGGACTCGCGCTCTCGCTTGGGACTTCCTTACAATTTATACAGGAATCGCTCTCCCGGCGCTCTGGAGTCGCGCTCTCGCTCGAGACTTGCTTGCAACTTACTGAAGAATGGCCTTGCGTTGGAATTTCCTGCAATTTGCCCAAGCGCCGCGCTCCGGACACCCAGGCACCCAGGAGTCGCGCCCGTTGTGGCCCCATGTGCATGCCCTTCGTGGCCCCGCTGTCGCCACTTGTGTCCCCCTCACTGTCCTACGTGGCCCAATTGCTGCCGTCAGTGGCCCCATAGTTGCTTTCTGTGGCCCCGCATTATCGGCACTTCGTGACCCCCGCTCGTTCGCGCTCTTCGTGGACCCATACGCATTCCCTTCGTGTCCCCGCTGTCGCCCTTCGTGGCCTACTTCGTGCCCTTCGTGGCCCTGCAGTCGTTCTCTCTCGCTCTCGCTTTCGCTCGTCGTCGCCATCGTGGTCGTCGTCGCCGTCGTCTTCGACGTCGTCGTCGTCGTCGTCGTCGTCGTCGTCGTCGTGGTCGGTCCCCTGTCCGTCCCTCTTGGGGTTGGGTCGACGGTCCGCGGCCGCCCCGCCGATCAGCGCTGCCGCTGGCCAGGCCGACGGTCCGCGGCCGCCCCGCCGCTTGCCGGGGCCCGGCCTGCAGGGGACAAAGTTATACCCCCCAAAAGAGGTTCGATCGAAGACGAAGAGGGCGGGTATCGAGGGTTTGGGGAATAAGCGTTATTGGACACTCGAGCATATAAGGGCGAACAGTCTTAAAATTATTGTTGTTGCTGTTGCTGTTGTTGTGGTTGTTGTTGTGGTTGTTGTTGTGGTTGTGGTTGTTGTTGTTGTTGTTGTTGTTGTTGTTGTTGTTGTTATTTGGCACGGTTGAGGACTTTCAAACGGTTGTCCTCCAACGGAGCATTGCCAGCAGGGGTGATATTTGTAGGGACCTGTGAAGTGGAGACTTGGAGAGATGGTTTTTTTGCAACATCGTTGATGCGTCTTGGGTTTGCACTGGTCCTCCCCCTTCCCCTGGCCGCAGTCGGCCGTTCGCGCGCTTTGCGCTGGTGCCTTATGGTCGGTGCCCCATGTGTTGGTGCCGTATTCGTCTTCGTTGTCGTCGTCGTTGGCTGTTCGCGAATTGGTGCCGTACTAATGGCGCCCTATGGTCGGCGCTCTACGGTTAGTGCTCTCTGGTTGGCCTTCTATGTTTTTTTGCCTTATGTGGCGTATAGTTGCTGCCCTTTGGTTGGTGCCGTGCGGTTGGTACCCAATGTTGCCCTGTGGCTGGTGCTTCCTCCTTTCTTGCGCCACATAGTTCGAACGACCCCAGCGCAAAAACTGAATGCTTTGGGTCCACACGTCGGCATCATACTTATGTAGGCCCCCAGAGGCATTGCCGTTTCATTTCTAAGCGCTATTTAGGGCATTCCCGTATTACTCGGGGTCCCATGGTCTTCCTAGAGTGCTTTGGTGATGTTGTTATCGTGTCTTTGCAGTGTCCATTGCCAATAAAACTTGAACCCGGACCCAAACCCGAACGCTTGCTCAGCGCGCATGATGGTCCAAGTATATAGTTGTGCCGATCATAGCCGTAGTCGTAATCGTGACCTGGACCGCAGCAGTAACGGCATCCTTTACCACTACTCCAGATGTCACAATGAACAGGGGGTGATCAGATTTTTTCTTGTGGTCTGACTTCAGCTGTCTCGGAGGGTTCTGGGGGGTCTGGGTAAAGGGCTGTCCTTTCATGGCTGGTCTGGGTGGGGTCTAAAATTGCTCGTTTGGAAAGGCTGTCATCCATTTTCTTTTATTGCGAAATCCGGGGTAATCATCATGGGAAGTCTCACGGCCTGCCGACCAGGTAAGGGGACGCGCACCTCACCATTTTGGAGGCCAGCTTGGAGCACTGGAGGCCTTCTTGGAGCCATCTTGAGCAAGAGAGGACCCTCTGACACCTCGCGGACTCCCCAGA